CGTGCAGGGCTTACAGAAAGTTGTGCTGGGTGTTTCGCTTCATTAGGCAATGTGCACTCAATGGTTGGCGCTGTTGGAATTCCTATGCCAACTGTGGAAGCTCGACTAGAATCCATTCCTGAGATGGGATACGATGCTTTGTCTAGTGTCCCACGAGGTGAAATTTGCATTAGGGGCAACATATTATTTTCTGGATACTACAAACGCTTAGATCTTACTCAACAACAAGTCGTCGATGGATGGTTTCATACAGGTAGCTACACATTTTCTCCAAACGCTGATAATTGGTAATAATAGTCTGTTTTCTAAATTCCAAATGTTAATTGTGAGATTAATTTGACAAAACAATGTAGGCGATGTTGGGGAGTGGCAGCCTGATGGAGTAATGAAGATTATCGACAGGAAAAAGAATATTTTCAAGCTGTCGCAAGGTGAATATGTGGCTGTTGAAAGCATCGAGAGCGTCTACTCTCAGTGCCCGCTCGTAACATCTGTAAGTATTTGTTACAAAAATAAAAAATAAAAACAGATTTCTATTAAGTCTACTCAGAATTTATGTTGAATTTGTGAATTAAATTACACTCTACTCTCACTGAGTGACTGTAGGTTTGGGTGTATGGGGACAGTTTCGAGTCGTTTCTTGTGGCTGTGGTGGTGCCGGAGATAAAAGCACTTGAAGATTGGGCAGCTAATAATCAAGAGAAAGGCGATTTTCAGTCTTTGTGCGGCAACTCAAAGGCAAAAAAGTACATTCTGGACGAGCTCAACAATACTGCTAAAAAACACGGTGTAAGAAGAGTGCCTTGTATCGTATGCCGGTGCTTCTGAATTGTTATCACTTACTTATACGCAGTTATTTTTATTTTGTTTTAATTTTTTCTTCCTTTGTCTTTCCAGCTTCGAGGTTTCGAGATGTTAAGAGGGGTTCACTTAGAACCACTTCCTTTCGACATCAGTCGAGATCTAATCACTCCAACATTTAAGCTCAAGAGGCCTCAATTATACAAGTATTACAAGGTATGCGGCTTTGTTGAAAAAAATTTATCTCGTTAAAGACCTGCGTAGAATCATGTGCAAAATTGCAATGGAGTAACCAAACTGAGTCTTGTTGAGCTTTAATTATAAGAATAAAGCTTCAAAATCATGATTGATGTGTATTGGCTATTAACTAAATTGATTTTATAGAAAATCCAGACAAGGCTGGCACGAAAAGAGTTCAAATAACTACTGTTTAGCCGTCGAGCAATTATTTATGTTAACATAATTTGTTATCTGCAGGACCATATAGATCAGCTTTACGCAGAAGCCAAGGGAACGAAACAGTAAGATCAGCATAAATCATGAGAAGAAGTCTAAATAAATATGCCCTTAGAAGCTATTCGAGCATTTTAATATGTGCTTTGTCATCTGTCCCAATTCACGTATGTGTAAAAGTACCTTCAGTTATTTTAAAGTTTTTAATTAATATATGCTTTTTCCTCTGTCCCAATTCACATATGTGTAAAAGTACCTTCAGTTATTTTAAATTCTATTATCCTACTTTCCTTCAGCTGATTGATATAAATATTTAAGTTAAGACACATACTCAAAAAGGCTGGCTGGCTACACAGGCATGCATGTCAAGTATAATGCACAAGGAAATTTGCAACGTCCAAATCCAGACGCTTATTGGATATAAAAAATTTTGGTTTTGTTTAGGTTTTTTTGTTTGGTTTGGTTAATTTTGAAAAAGTTGGTATGATTAATTGTTAGTGAGTATATTAGAATAATATTTAAAATAAAATGATTAAAGTTGATTTGATGTAAAGTAAGAGAGAGAAGATTTGAAGTGTTGGTTAGTTAAAGTTATGTGAGTAGATGAATAGTAAATTAAGGTAAGGTGGTGTGTAAAAATGATTGATTGATATTATTTAATTATATTGATAATAATGAAGATAGTGGAGTTGAGTTCAAATTGAGTTAAAAAAAGTAGTTGAGTTAAAAATATTTGGATTTTTTTGAGAAATTTTGTATCCAAGCATGCTCTTAATTTTTCAGTCCCAACACACAAGGCCTTCAATAATTTCATTTCCCCATGTTAATCGGGATACATATTATCATTAATACCTGAAAACCTTTATCAGCAGGGGGTTCTTTAGGGAGGCAGCTTAGGCCCATGCCTAGGGCCTTCCCATATATCCTTTTTTTTTTTTTTTCAATATTATGTATCTGTAATGAGTTTGGCCTATTTGCATATATGAAGTGACTCATAGTTAAATTTAGATTTGAACCATTATACAAATAAATGGGCTAATTAATGAATGAGTTAATGACAAAATATGTACCTTGTTGGAAATTTGAGGCCCTAAATATTTCATTTGTTTTCTTATGATGTTCGATTAGAACAATTGTGTGAAAATAAATATTCTTTGCAGTGATATGGTTTTTTATTTTCTTCTCCTTTTTGTTCTCGTGACTCGTGACTGATTGAATGTAAATTATTAAAGATCTTTGTAACCCATAAGTAATTTATCAATTCCAAGGTCTAGAAAAACAATAAAAATTATTTTTTTTTCAATTATTTATTTATTTATTAAATAGTCTTTTTTAATTTGGTTTTTTTCTTCTATGATACTATCTGCAAATAGCCTAATTACCACGCAAGCTCAAATCGAGAAATTGGAAAAGAACAAACTTGTCTAGGGCCTCAAAATTTCTGGAAACGGCCCTGCAGCTAGTCTTGTAATCAACAAAGCTCACTCAGACAAGCTGACTACGAAGGTTTTTGCAGAACGTATGAAGTTGGTGCTCCCGTCGATTATTAATCCAGCCCAAGTGAGTTTTGTACCCGGGCGTCATATATCGGATAATATTATTGTGGCACAGGAATTAATTCACTCGATGAGAAATTTACGAGGCCGACGTGGTTTTATGGTGGTGAAAATTGATTTGGAGAAAGCCTATGATTTTCTCCGGTGGGATTTTATTCGGCAGTCGCTGAAGCTAGTAGGCTTCCCAGGTATATTTATGAATGCAGTGATGAACTGTGTTACTTCAGGATCCATGCAGCTGCTGTGGAATGGGGGGGGTCTGCGAGGAGTTCGTTCCGTCCAGAGGGGTTCGCCAAGGGGACCCTATCTCTCCATATCTTTTTTATCTTATGCATGGAACGACTAGCTCATATGATTGACTCTTCAGTCGGTGATGGACATTGGGCGCCAATTTCCGTGGGTAGAGGAGATGTTTCGATTCCTTACCTAATGTTTGCTGATGACCTGCTTCTTTTTGTTGAGGCGACCTCGACTCAAGCACGTGTTTTAAAGACTATCCTACAGGTGTTCTGTGATGCATCCGGGCTTAAGGTTAATGAGAACAAAACGCAAGTATTCTTCTCCAGGAATGTGCCGTCTGCAGTGCGAGCGTCTTTGACGGCTCAGTTGGGTTTCAAGATGGTGGAGAATCTTGGTAAGTATCTCGGAATGCCGGTGATTCATGGGCGAGTCACTAAATCTACCTATGGGGGGTTGTTGGACAAGGTGGAGAAACGTCTAGCTGGATGGAAAGCTTCTACCCTTTCGATGGCTGGGAGAGTGGTTCTTACGCAATCAGTTTTGAGTTCATTGCCTTATTTTTCGATGCAAACGGTCCTGCTACCAGCTGGGGTTTGTGATGCGTTGGAACGCAAGTGTCGTAATTTTATTTGGGGCGGTACAGAAACCAACTGACGAGTTAGTCTGGTGTCGTGGTCTGAGGTTTGTCGACCGAAGGATGAGGGCGGGCTAGGGTTAAAGGAGCAACGGTGCATGAATAGAGCGTTGATTTCGAAGTTGGCTTAGAGTTTTCTTACGCAACCGCAATCGTTATGGGTTCGAGTGGTGCGGGCAAAATATGGCTTAAATCCTGAGTATATGAGATCAGAGTTTTCTTTTCCCCGGGGTTCAAGTCTATTAACGGCATTGCGGAGTGTCTGGAAGGATGTGATTGCCGGCACTAGGTAGTCGGTAGGGAATGGTGGTCGAGCACTTTTCTGGTGGGATAGATGGCTACATGCTTCGGAACCCCTAATTACGTATGCCACTGGACCAGTCCCGGAGCATTTACTTCATGCACCAGTTTCGGCGTTTGCATCCATGGATGGCGGTTGGCATTGGAGTCTTTCAGCATATGGTCTCGCTGATGAAAATTGCGGCTGTTATGCCCCCCAAACGGCACCCCAAACGGCAGGCGAATATGACGTCCGCTATTGGGGACACTCCCCGGATGGACGGTTGACGACGCGGTCGGCCTATGCGGCTCTTGCAGTTCCATCGGCTCCTAGGCAAAATAGGTGTTGGCGACTGATTTGGCGATGGGTGGGCCCATAACGGATCCGCCATTTTTTGTGGTTGGCGTTTCGTGACAGTCTTTTGACTAACGAGGTGCGTCAACGCCGCCATATGACCATTTCCTCGTGCTGTCCGGTTTGTATGGATGCTGATGAGTCCACGCTGCATGTGTTGAGGGATTGTTCTGTAGCTGCAGCAACTTGGCGTAAGTTGATATCTCCGGATGGGTGGGATGCTTTCTTTTCTCGTCCCCTGCACCTCAGGTGCCTGTGCCAATTTGGATGGGACTTTGATGCATGACACTGAGGATTGGACGACAGTGTTTGGTGTCACAGCTTGGCGTATGTGTCGATGACGCAACTTGAAGATTTTTCGGAATGAGAGTCGATCGGTGGAGGGTCGGGTGCATGACATCCGCTCTTTCGTACATAGCATTGAAGCAAAGGCAGATCGTGGTCATGTTTTGGGTGGCGCAGACCGGCGTCAGCAACGCTTGATATGGTGGGACCCTCCTGAACCGGGAATGGTGAAGGTCAACACAGATGGCAGCCACTTACCGAGTACGGGTATGGCTAGTGCGGGTGGCGTCATTCGGGATCATATGGGCAAATGGCTGAGTGGATTCGTGATGAATATTGGATTTTGTTCTGTCATTGGTGCCGAACTTTGGGGCCTGTTTCAGGGGTTGCAGCTTGCATGAGAAATTGGGGCCCGCAACGTGGTGGTGGAGGTCGATAACCAGAGTATTATGCGATGGTTCAAGGCGATGATGGTTGCGGCATCCACATGGGGATTCTACGAGGGATAAAAGAGCTGCTACATCGGTCTTGGCATGTGTCTTTGCAGCATGGTTATTGAGAAGCAAATTTTGTTGCCGATTATCTGGCCTCCCTTGCAGCGCAGGGTCTGGGTGGCTTTCAGCGTTTGGACGACCCTCCCTCGGGTGCGAAACCTTGGCTCACTCATGATGTGATAGGGGTGTCATATCCCAGAACCGTGTTGGTCTCGTCGTAGTTAGGCTTTGCCTCCTTTTCTTGTACCGAAAAAAACAAAGCTCACCCAGGAATCGGTACTGAACAACTGCAAATTAGTCGATCATAATTATTTCACTTTCTTTTTTCCCATTTTTTTTTTTTTTTTGNTTTTTTTTTTTTTTTTGGTAGAACAAACAACAGGGGCAATCGAAAAGCGAATACACGAATTCATATTGAACCAAAGGACCGAACCTGGGTGAACCAATGCCTTTTCAAATATATGAATCTTAGATAATCCCCCAAAAAAATGGAGAAAGTAATACAAAATCAACCATCTAGAAAATCAACTTGGGTGTGCCTAGAAAAGAGTCATATCTGCTGGGGGTCCATACACACTCTGCCAGGAGAATGGCACAATCCACTTATCGGAACCACTGCCTGAACAATTACGACACAAAAAAGAGTGAAATTAATCAGCTTGCATTTTCCAATCAAAAACTAAGATCAGATTCCAGTCAAAAGCAAAAAATTAATTAAAAAAAATGAAGAAAATGACGGAAACTAGGTCAATAAACTACCCCTTAGGTTAGACTTCCAACAGAAAACTGCACTAAGTGCAAGGATCACAAATAACTCTTTGAAGTGTCACAAACACACTTTGAGTTTGTGATTCATCTACAAATAACCCCCTCTTGAAATTCAAAAGTAGAGAATAATGGGGCTACTACTTGTTCTGTTGGTTTGAAAAATACAATATGGGCGTGTTTATAAGTAACTCAAAATCTTAGCTACAACTCATATCAAGAAGAACTTAGCTCATGTCCTGGATATGAAATGTCAAAACTGGTACAAATGTAATAAGAACAAAATGAATTTAAAATATGGGTAGTTACTTCAGTTCTCCATAGACCAACACAAAATATTTGCATTTTTTTGTTTGAATGGAGTATAATTATATATGGGCATGTAGAGGTTCATAATGTGTCTGTAACGTGTGCATCTTGGCGGAAGAGAACATAATTAATAAAGACAAGAAAAAAGGAAGATAATTTCCCATTTGCGGACTGACTGAAAAATAAATCACCTAGGAACTCCTTATTGCTAAGTCCAGTAAGCATGCTTGCTGCCTCAGCCATAGAGAAAGCTTCAGGTATGTTGTCTCCCTCAGAGCAGAAACACAGTACGCAAGTAACTTTAAGACCTTTAGCCTATACAATCAAAAAAATTGTTAAATGAAAGATATAATTAAAATTATCCATTATGCTCAGGCACACGGGCTTCAGCTAGAAGCAGGCAAAACAAAAGAAGGGGTTTCCAGAAAACAAATATATGAACTACTATGATAAACCTATGACATTTCCAAGAAAATTAATAAGTTCTTTTTTTTTTAATTTATTGGGAAACAAAGAACTGAAAACTGGACCTTAAAGCAGGAAAAGAGTGCAGCAAAGGGCAAACTTGGATAATAATCTGCATCTTCAAGTTCTTCAGAAGGAAAATCTTCATCAGGGGTGAACCCATCTGCCACTAACATATTGAGATATTTCCATGCTCTTTGATCAGGATTGTAATCTTGAAGTTTATTCCATCCAAGGCATTCACAGTCAGCATCGACCCCATCCACACTGGAACTAGATAAGTAGTATATCTGCAAGCCGCTGTTAAATATCACAAATGATCATGGATTTTCAAAGTTCAACTGAAGAAAAATCAGAACTACAAGCATGCACATGAAATTCGCACATAATTGTTTCAACAAACTAACTGATATTAATTTGTGTACTCTTACCAAAATCTGAAAAGCTTTGATGTTGGCATTGGCAATACAATCTCCTTTTTTAATGTCTGATTTAAAGTTAATTCATAGCAGAATATATACATAGAAAATCGGCCCTAGTAAAAAATCAGCAAAACTACACACAATGGCCTCAAGCATGTGGCCAGAATCAAATTCATGAAGAACACTAAACTGTAGATTCTGCAATCGTATTTGAAGCTTAATCTTTACTGGAGGCAATACCAAGACATATTGATGTTTTTCCATCGACCAAAATCCAAGCTGGAGAGTATGATGACGTGCTTCTTCCCATTTTCAGCTGCAAAGTTTGCCATGTTCTTAGCATATTCCATCATCATACCCTGCGTTACAAGCATAAAAGTACAATCCTTGAGGCTAAGTTAAACATTGCCATTACAAAATGACCCAAAATCATGGAAATTAGCTTAAGTTCAAAGATCAAAACAAGTAGCATAGCAAATATATATTAATTTATACCAAAAATAAATGAGCCATCCATAATACGAATACCTTAATAACTGGAGACCGTTGTTGCACAAGTGTCAATGCACTCGAAGAAGATTCATACACTGCGAAGTTCAATTTGACAAAGGGAAGAAAATGTAAATCCGAAATTAATAATAGAAATAAATACCCATAGAAAATATAAGAAAATAACAATCCTGGAAAGCACCTTCTAGTGGGAGAGCTAATTTCCCAAGAGGCGAGGGGGAATAAGCGTCGTTGCCAACACAAGGAAGTACGTTGGGATCGTCCAAATAGCCGATTTTCTCAGATTTAAGAGACGATATTAACAGATCCACGGCGAGCTGCCCCACATTTCCTATCGATAATGCCGGCTGAAATATCCAGAACGGAGCAGAAATTAACAAGGTTAAAAACCTCCCGACCTAGATGTGAGAAGGCAAGAGAACCTAGAATTTGAAGGAAGAAAAAACTGGGAAACCCTAGAACGAACCAGAATCAAAGTCGAGCAAGAAGGGTTTTGTTGTTTCCCTTCTTCAAGGTAAAACTCCATCTGTAGAATATTGTTGTGGCTTCTGCTATGCGAGGCAATTCGGGACAAGCAGGTTTCTACTTAGCACAGTGATGAAAACGACGGTCAAGGTTTGGCGCTTGTATAGGCCTTTGGTCTTTTTTTTGTACNTATGACTTTTTTTTTTTCCGATAGATTATAAATAATAAAATTCAAATACAAAAATTTCTAAAAACTAAGACAATCAAACTACTAAATTGAACTAGCGAGACTATCCCGACGGAGTACTAATGCTCACAGGAATCCTAGACGCACACAATCCTTCAGCATCCAAGTGTGTTCTGTAGACAAATCTATGGTTTCTGAAGCCCGAATCCAATTAACAACCTATATCTTATGGTGACTTTGGAAATCAAGAAATTTGTGACAATTTGAAAATGTCTAGCGACCAGTACTTCTCACAGTACAAGCAGCTACAAGGGCATGGCAGGAAGCTGTGGATCTGACGGCAAGTTCTAGGAGAATCAACCAAGTCACTAGTTAGGTCTGTATTTTTGCAGTTCAGTTTCTAGTGTCGGTTTATTTTCCTCTGTTATGGATTTGTGAATTTTTCTTAGGTGATAGCTAGTGGTTTCAGTGTTCTTCTACTGCATTAGCTTTCCAGTTAGATGTTAAAGTCTAGGCCACTCATTGTTTGATGTGGTGCTCACTGGCCCTGGCCCTCGGTTTTTTCTTTTTTCTGGTTAGTTAGTTCGTTGTTCGGGTGTTGCCCGTTTTGGTTGTAATTTGCCTTTGAACATTGTACTTCCTTTCTTCGGTTTTATTGAGAGTTCTATCGTTTNAAAAAAAAAAAAAAAGAGGTCACCAGACGATGGTCATTCCTCGATGAGCGCAGTCTGTCAAAAATTTGTTTGGCGTACATTCATCTAGTACACCTTTGCGGCAGAGAAAGCTCGACCTAAACTGGCCAAGATCCATACTTCTTCAACCAACCCGTCTGAAAAGGTTCTATTTTTTTGGTAATTTTGATTTCTATAACATATTGTATATATTTTGTGAATCAATTTCCCCAGATTATATTTCGAGAAACTATTATTTCGTGTACTACAAATCTGGTTGATATCTCTTGTTCGCACCCTTGAATTAGGGTGTTTTTTTTTTCAGTGCATAGTAGTCAATTTGTTGCTGGTATACATGTAGCTTATATAATATGGGTACTTCGTTTAAGAATTATCAACAAAACTCACGTTTGATTGGAAGTTTGAAAAGTGTAGTAATGCGGATAGAATGTCAAACCCCTGATTGGCATTCGAAAGATACTCGTCTATGTAAATAAGCCTGGTATCAGAAAGACCTCCGACCGACTGATATGGCTAGAAATGGCTAGATCTCGAGCTTGAGCGTCGGTCAAACATCTTCGAACCTGCAGAACTCTCACACCGGAGGGATTTTCCTGTAAAGAGCCTCTGATGTTAGTACTTGTAGAAGATGAAGTGCAGTATGTAAAATATAGAGAGTATAATAGAGAATGTAACCCTACAATTGTATATCTCACTCCTATTTATAAGACTGGGTTACCTGCTTCTAGAAGCCTACTCGGATATGGTGAGTTGGCTGCCCAAGCTGACCGAACTACCCGTACTGCCCCAAACGGTTATGGGGCATGGACCAATCAGATAGTGCCATGTGTGTTAACCCATGTGCCATATTAACTATAGTGAGTCACTCTTATCCCTTAGTCTCCCTCATTAGACGGTATAACTGTGCGATTGACCTCAATTATCTCGAGGTGAAGTGTCATCGTTGTCGAGCCCCGATATCCTGCTAATATGGTCGATCCATCGACCAGGTACTCCTCCAGGTCGAAATCTTACTAGGCCTTCCAAGGGCCATCATTCGACCAGCTGATACTCTTCGTGTCATTGATATCTTCTTTGACCTAGGCATCCTTCGACCTGTGGGGTCTTCGTTCTTTGTTTGACCTGATGACTGACCCGGTTTGGTCTAGCCGCCCTTTCGTCTAGTCGACCTGGTGTAGTTATCCCATATCATCTTGTCCCCCCACTCTGGTCGAGTTAATATGACTTGATCCATGAGTTAAAATGGGTCATTTTTCAATCCCGGTATACTGGTCCTCTTTTTGCTTTATCGAGCTTCATCCTTACCTTAAGATCATTATCGCGCCTTATTCGTCCCGTTGCCCAAATTTTTCCCCTTTTGAATTTTGAATTTCAAATGGTTGTCACATGTCCGTGCCCATCCCGTTCAACCGTCTTGTCGCCACGTGCCCAGTGCAGTTCAAAAGTCCCGTTACTTGGCGCTTCATAGTCCATGCTTCCCCTTGTGCAGTGCGCTTCATTTAATGTGGGCTTAATCTCGCCAACTCATTTTCACTTTAATCCAGCGATCGATTTTACCTTGTCTTTTCGGTTGCTGCTTTCGATCTGGACTATTGAATCCACCTTTGATCCTGTGGCTGGGATCGCTCGACCTCCTTGTCTTCAACTTCCTTTCGCCCATAAAAGGAGGCCTTAGCCGATTTTACTTGGTTTTTCACTTCTGCGAAAAATTTCACATACACATACATTCTTGTTTTCCCCTTGAGTTTGACAACCGTATATAAGAATCCTTACTCCTCTATTAACTATCAACGACGATGCATAAGTTTTCTTTTCTTTTCTGTTCAGATTTTGGTTTTGCATGTGTTTTAGTTTAATTTTATTTTCTTGTGAAATATTCCCATTCACCCCTTCTCTAATAAGTTAGTCTTTCTCCGCCTTCTGCCGTCTTCCTCCGACTCCTCGACTTTCCTTTTCTGATTTTCTCTTTTTTAGATTTTGCCACTTCAAGCGAGGGTGACCCAGTATAGTATTGTAGTTTATTTGTGGTTTGTGAATATCAAAAAGACGGTTTAAGGAGAATAAAGAAAACGAAACAAAAATCAAAGTCGAGACAAGTATTATCTTGAAGACGGTTTAATCAAGTATGTACTCGAACCACGACGGAAAGATCGAGCTCTGACAAGTATTATCTTGTCCTCGACATTTCGCACTATCCTTTATCCCTATTCAGAAGTTAGTTACTTTCGACAAGGTACCCGAGTTTATTACCAACGTAACAACATCCCTTGGATTTCTTGGCTCTCTATCTTGGTTTGCCATGAAAAGCGTTTTTTACGCTTCTCACACGAGCTCGGCTCGTTCAAGTTTGCTTTAGCCTCTATCTCGCTCTATTGGGTTAAAACTTTGGATTTTTCGATTATCTTCTTCAATCCGAAGTCGAACAATCAAGTCCTCCAACGTCATCTCTTTGCGTTTATGCATGAGATAGTTTTTGAAGTCCTTCCAAAGTGGTGGTAACTTTTCAACAATAGCCGCAACTTGGAAGGCTTCATTCACAATCAATCCTTCGGCCAACAAACCGTGAAAGATGATTTGAATCTCTTGGACTTGGCTAACCACCGACTTGGTGTCCACCATTAAGTACTTTAGGAATTTACCGACGAGAAATTTCTTAATCCTGGCATCTTCCGTCTTGTACTTTATCTCCAAGGAATTCCATAACTCCTTTGCCGTCTTAATCAAACTATAGACATTGTAGAGAGTGTCGTCTTGTCCGTTAAGGATATAATTTTTACACAAGAAATCATTGTGATGCCACGCATCCGAGGCCGTACGCTTTTGCACGTCGGTCTCACTTTCGGGGACGATCAAAGGGTCCTCCGAAAGAAAACGAGAGAGGGAGAGAGTTGTGAGGTAGAACAACATCTTTTGTTGCCGCCTCTTGAAATCAGATACATTGAACTTCGGCGGTCTCTCGCCTTGGATGGGAGCAACTACCATCGGTTGAGCACTTGAAGAAGACGTTTGATTTCCTCCGCTTGCCATCTTATGAACTCACAAAAATTTCGTCTTTAGATTGTAGTTTATTTGTGGTTTGTGAATATCAAAAAGACGGTTTAAGGAAAATAAAGAAAACGAAACAAAAATCAAACTCGAGGCACGTAATAATTACGTTCTCCTTAAGACGAAATTGCCCCGTCAAATACCCACGGTTAACGGCAAACGCCTCCAAGATACAACGACTTTCGACTTGTATATAGTGGTACATAAAGTATACAAGCCTTCGGCGAACACTACTATTGTTTGGAACTCTCAAGACTCAATGAAAAAATCAAAGAACGCAATATGCTATATGATCTTTGAAAAGTAATGCAAGAGCTCTCTAATTTTCATGTTTTAATGATTTTAAGTATGTGGGTATTTATAGATGTAGGGAAACACCTCCAACAGGTTTAAGTGTCAAAAGACACCTTTTGGGATGTGCCCGAACAAGAACGGATGCATCTAGTGGTCAAAAGATACCTTATGGTCACCAAGGGTTGCGACCCTTTGGTTTCCACACCCAGTTGCACGCCCGTGCGCCGCGGGCTCATACGAGCTCATACAGACTCGGAATCGAGTTCCGTTTTTTCCTACTTGTCCCCAACGAGCCCTTCTACAATTTTAGCATATATAATGCATAATTGTAGCTCGTTTAGTTCGTCAAAACATTTGTCAAAACAGAATGTTTGTGAACCCTACAAACTTTGAGTTATTTGAACTCAATTAATTAACATATAACACTTAGAATTAATTTCTCATTCACCTTAAAAAGGTTTTGAGAATTTCCTAAGTCTTTTACTTACGAAAAGTAGAATCGTTAAATCGGTACAAAACCAATTTTTTCTTACAATCCCCCACATGAATAAAATTAATGCATATATGCAATACTTGAGAGTTCCGACAAACCATCATTGCATCAGGATAGATAGCTTGTGGCTTCGAATCTTTCTTAGTGAAACACTATCGGATACACTAGCCGGTTAGTAGCGCGATGCTTTGAACTTACCGGTTGTTTGTGTGCATCAAGACAATAGTACTCACTCAACAATAGCTCTAACAATTTCTTGTTCTCACGTTGTGTCCATTTCGGCCTTGGACCAAATCTCGGTTTAGTAAGTGTTCGGTGAAGCGGCCTATTTACTTCTCACTTACAAAGGTGATTCTCCTATAAAGAGTATCCTGCCTTACTCTACCCGTAGGTATAGAATCATTAAAAGTCCTCGACTTAGCCTCACCACTTAGGCAGATTTTAACACTTGACGGTTCTAGAAATGAGCAAAAATTTTCAAGTGTTTCACTGAACTGTCAAAACCTAGTTTTCCCATTGAACCAAGGTTTCGGGATCTCCGATTCTCATGGTTGGGTTACCGCTAAGACCGTTCGTTTGTTGTAGTTTTTATTAAGCTCATTCCCCTAACCAGTTTGTACAATTTATCTCGTTTCATGCTTTATGTAAACGAATCCGTTAGGTTTATCTTTGACTACACATAGTCAACCGATATAACCTCCATACGAGATAATTTTCTTATTGAAATTAAGTCTCTGACATCTATGTTTAGACTAACTATTGTACTGTTGATGACCGACTTGGTCTCATATGATTAGTTAAAGGCTAATCACCTCATCCCAGTAACAGCCTTTCAAAAAATAGCTAAACTTACCTCAAGTCGGAGCAGTTAAATAAATTACCGACTTCTAGACGGCTGAAAATAAAACCGACTACCTATAAGGGCCTAAAGATCGACTTCACCGACATCATGATTATTTACATTAAAGATTATCCATTCATTCGACATCCAAGGGGATCAAATATCCAAGCAGGAGGAGCTGTATACTTTCAATTGGACCATCGAAATAAGGAATAATCATTGATGTTCCCTTATTTCACCACACACTGCATTATAGAAGTTGCTCAACATTAAATACAATCTTATCTACCTCGGACAAAAAGACAAAAACGACCATACTATAAATAGCAGAATTTATGATTGTACGGGGATCTTTTCCAGCACATTGTACACGAGCTTAAAATGATCTCGGTCAAGAACAAAAAACCGATTTCATGTACTCTTGTGAAATTATCAATAATACACAATTTTATATTTATTTTGTTTAAACACACTTTGCTGTTTGTTACTTTGAATTGTTAATTTCATACAACAACAGTTTGGCGCTAGAGGAAGGGCCTCATAAGAAATTTGAGGTTAATCTTCGACTGACCATATACAAAACTTTAACGTGTGTGTTGAACAATTTCACATACGTGCTATTAACATGTCAAGTTCTGGGTGTCAAGAAAGAAATCCAGAGGCTGGAACCAGCTGTAATCTTGCTCATACTACTGATGATACGACTGTGCCATCCATGACGATAGATTACTTTGTTTTGTTTCAAGATCCAGAGTTCCTCAGAAATCTATCTAATTTCATGGCACAAACAAGAACGGGACCAACTATGACAGTTCCAAGTCAAACGCTTGTCCCAAATCACCATGTAAGACATCGGACGCCGCCTATTCAACAGCAGAATAATAATCCTGCTGCGTCTCATGCAACTTCGCAACCACGAACACCTGGGCAACAACAAAATATAGCTGTCCACAGTCATGGTGTAGCACCTGTCAATAATCATCCTCCAGAAGGTATTCATCCTGAAATTACCGTTGAAAGTCATTCAGGGCGTCGTCGACAACAATCGGTGCCTTCGTCACCGGTAACGTCGCAACACGTTCGACAATCCGACTTGCGTCATACTATCGAAAGGAATCGGTCCAGGCGTGAGAATGATGAATTACGTCATACTATCGAAAGGAACCGTTTAAGATGTGAGTCGGAAGAGTAGGAAATGTTACGAAAAAGAATCGCCGAGCTGGAAACTCGACGAAACGGCCCAGAGGAATCTCAACAAAGAGCTCCCATTTTGGAGAGTGTTTATTTAGAAGCTGAAACCCCATTGACTCCTCATCTGACAATGGAACCACTCTCCAAAAAAGTTAAGGTTCCCCAGATTGGTCTCTATGATGGCACCTCGGATCTGGATGCACATCTCGATCACTTCATGGATGGACCTTCACGGGGTGATCGACGCACTTAGATGTCAGATGTTTTCTTTAACTCTAGGACCTCGGGCTCAAAAATGGTATCATTCTTTACCTCGCTGTTCAATCTCGAAATGGCAACAGCGGAGAACGGCTTTCCGCTCTCATTTTATTGGGGCCCGAGTATCTTTAATCCCAAAAGAGTCAATTGCTAATATTGTCAAAAAAGACAATGAAAGTGTAAAAGATTACATTACTCGGTTTAATGAACGGGTACAAAATATGGAGCAATGCCATCCAGAAACATTGCTGATCATGGCAATAGCAGGATTGAAGTCGAACTCTCTGTTTCGATGGAGCATTTATCAGAATAAACCGACTTCATTCCAAGAATTTCTAGCTCGAGCCCAACAACATATCATAGCTGAAGAATTAATGTCGGTTTCCACTCTCGACTTTTCATCTAATAAGTCGGAGGTGGAGCAAGAATCGAAAAAGAAAAAAGGCAAGGCTTTCAAACCAAATAAATCTCGATTTGGGAATGCCAAGGACCCTGAAGTGAAAGAGGCAAGAGCAAAGTATCTCAATGAAGTCAAGTCGAGCTACCAGACGGTCTTTTCAGCTGGAGTCGCAACCATTTTCGAAGAATTAAAAGGGAAAGGAATTCTTCCCGATCCCCGACCTGTGAGGACTCCAGAAGATAAACTTGACAAGACAAAGTACTGTTCATACACAAGTCGGGAGGACATGATACCGACGAATGTCTTGGTTTACTCTCCGC